AAAAAAAACAACAACAACAAAAACACACGAAATATTCAAAACAAGGGTAAGCAATAATTAAATGCTACAAATTTCAGATGGAAACCAAAAGAAAAAAATGAATAAGTCAGTGAACCTTCAGCTTTTGTAATAAGGAGGGGGTAGGGTGTATATGCAGCCAATGCACCCTCCCACAACAAAAATAATTTCTGTAATATAGCCATATATGTTGACCATCAATAGCCAGTGACTGCATGATCACAAATATCTAGCCAGTGCCATCACCAAGAAGGGGGGGACTTATTCAGCCTGGAATTTATAACAGCAAATATACTGAATATGATTTTACTGCAATAAATGTTGCCTGGATATATTTATTTTACAATGTTTGAGTTATTACCAAAATAAGATTCATATGTCTTCCTAAGCTGGTCCCAAAAGAGTAAACTAAGAACTGTATGTGGACCAATTCTGAAGTAATGGGGCCCAACACCTTTATAAAACCCTAAAAAACCTTCTTTCTTAAAAATCTTTAAAAAACAATCCAAAAATCCATTGTAAAAGAGTCCTTTTCCTGCACTATTTGTGCCTTGGTTGTAGAGTCTTRTAGAAACCACATCAAAGGGCGTCATACACAATACTACTGCTACACTGCTGATCATGCTACCACAGGCTGGAACCAGCCAGCTTCCTTCAGAAAATACATTTGTGCTTGCAATGTAGCTTTTTGTTTTGGAGAAAGTAGATAGCTGGGCRGCAGAACCAACCATGACACGAGCAATTGCACCACTGACTCCACGCCAAAGTCCAACAATACCAAACTTGGAGTAGATGTCTACTAAAGGTGAAATGAAGCCCCTGTGAGCATGCTGGTGGCCCACAGCTATCTGATGTGCTGATTGAGATTGGAGCTGTGTCTTGAGCTGAAATAAGCACAGAATCATGAAGCCTAGATATTTATTATTAGTCAAATCCTACTAGTGGTCTATCATCAATGCTGCCTTCTGATTGGATGAGCAACTACTATATGAGGCTATAAGTTATAGCATACTAGCAGTGAAAAGTGCTAGCTCTGAAACCAAAACATTATTAACTTTAATTTAAGACTAGTTTTTATCTTTATATATGACCGACTAGTTGGATTTGACTAAAACTTAAATGATAATCAATATTATAATTATAATCATAATTATTGTTATTCCTCTCGCCCTCATGCACCATGAGTCAATATTTAGCACATTCTGTCTTCGGCTTCATGGGCTATTGACTCATAGTCCATTTGGGCTTGAGGAATAATTGCTAATAAATTAATTAGTCATGTAGTTGAACTATGACACCATTAAATGGCATTCCCTTTTCTGAAAGTTAACTGCAACATAGTTTTAATTTTACATGTTTACATCTAACAGTCTAAAGAGTGGTCCTAGTCTATATAGTTGATTGACAGAAGCTTACATGACCTGGGCCATGTATTTCTGTTGGCAGAGCCTCGGTAGCAGCCCGGGGGGTCGGGTTGGGGAGGTACACTTGGCGTGTGAGAGCTCCCAACCCACACCCCACCCCCCTGCAATGCAGGCTGCCTGGTCACAGAGTTTACTAGATCACKTAAACTCAAAAAATATGAAAGGGTWAGTAAATRAATGACCTACCATATATGCAGGGCTACCAAAGAGTGCTCCAAGGGCCCCAGAAAATGCCCCGGCTACCAAACATTTCAAAAACACAGGCTTCCCATCACTACCAGAAGTCAATCCTAGATTAGTAAATACTTGATAGGAACCAAGCCTTGTTCCATTCATGATCACTTGGTATAGCAAAGCAGGACATAAACCCTTCTGTAGAGCCGTTAAACCTTCGTGTTTAGCAATCGTATACGAGGCATGAAATACGTTT